ATTTTCTGACTGATAGTATATTGCTGAGGGAATACAGCTCGTTGGTTGGAAATCTATATGGCTTGGAATACATGACCTTTATTAGAGACCTCTGTGCTCGCTCTAGCTCAATGAACTTCGTCTTCGTTGCTCCACCCCATACGGGTATGCAATAAATCAGAATTGACCGAGCTAAGGAGACATAGATTTCTGTCAGCATTTTTTTAGTCATTACATGTCGTAGGTTTTTAAAAATCCATATCAGTTTCCTGGTACGGGCAATGGTCATATCTGTGTGTACATGCCAGGATAGTCGCTGATCTAATATTACACCTAAATATTTTATGTGAGTCACTTTTTCAATACTTTGACAGGAACAGTTTGTACAAGTCATATCGCAAGAGTGGATTTTGAGTGTTTTGTTAGATCCAGGTTGTGTGTTGTTGTAGATGGTAAATGCAATGTATTTTGTTTTGGAGATGTTTAGCGTTAGGAGATGTGAACTCAACCAGTTTGTAATACTGAACAGACCCCTTTCAGCAGATTTATATACAGATTCCCATGTATCGCCACAGAAAGCAATGGCCGTGTCGTCTGCATATGAGAAGACACGGCCATTTTTCGGCACCATATTACAAAGCTGGTTTATGTAAATTGAGAAAAGAGTCGGTCCTAATACGCTGCCCTGTGGGACGCCGTAAGTCACGTATGTCTCGTCACTAATATATTCGCCTACCTTAACTCTTTGTCTACGATCTCGAAGGTAATCCGTTAATAAAGCTAACGGACTCCCTCTTATGCCGACATTTTCCATACTACGCACAAGGATGGGGACAGAAACGGTATCAAAGGCCTTTTTCAGATCAAGGAATACGGTTAAACATTTTTTTCCTGAGTCTACCAGTTTAGTTATATGAGTGGTCAATGCTGTCACTGCGTCTTCAGTCGATAATTTATGTCTGAAACTGTATTGAGCATTTGATATGATATTATATTTATGTGTGTAACTATGTAGTCTGACGTTAATGAGCTTTTCAATGATTTTAGATATGGCCGGCAGGACAGATATAGGCCTGTAATTGTTTATGTCGTCTCTGCCTCCACCCTTGTGCACCGGTGTAATTATGGCTTGCTTCAACACAGATGGAAATTTACCTTCGTTAAAACATAAGTTAGCAAGATGTGTTATCAGTGGTACGACTAATTCATGGGCGGTTTTTAAGAATTTAGTTGAGATATTATCCCAACCTGGAGCGCTGTCTGATTTAAGACTCATTAGGACATCATAGACTTCAGTAGGATCGGTTTCAAGAAGCACGAAGGAGGAGCTGTGTGAGTGTATCATGGGATCAGGACCGTGAGGAAGTTGCGGTTGGTGTGAGCAAATAATGTTCTCAGCTAGAGTTTTCCCAACATTGGAAAAGAAATCATTTATGTAATCTACCGAAGCCTGAGGGGTAGGTTTTATATCTAATAATTCTGAATTTAAAGCTTTCTTTGGTTTGCGATGAGTTATATTGTTTATTGTGTTCCACATTTGTTTTGTATTCTTATTTGCTTTTTGTAATTGTTCCTTATCATATTTTCTTCTAAGTTTTTTAATTAAATTATTACAGAAATTGCGGTATCTCCTATAGGTGATTTTTAATATAACGTTATGGGGATCAGATCGCAACTTTCTCTGCATATTATTTCTATTTTGTATACATCGTAAAATTCCTAAAGTTATCCAGGGTTTAATGATACGGTTGTTCCTTGGAATTAGTGTAGTAATAGTGTGTTGCTGAAGGCAGTTTTGGAGTTTGTTTATTAATTGTACAGATAACTTAACTGGGTCATTGATAGAAAGTAGTTCGGATATATTACTACTTTTTAATGCTGTTATGGTTTTATCAAAGTCAATGTAGACGGTATTATCAAAAATATTTTGCATTAAAGTCAGAGGTTAAAAAAATTGGGAAAATGATGTACCTACACAATAGTTCTTATATAACGTTACCATTTGTTATTCATTGATGCTTACTAATTACGGTTTCACGTGTAATGCGAGTTGATTTAACATAGAGCAATCAAAGTACCTACACGGCTTTATAAGCTTAGTTTTTAGCGTGCTCAGTCAGTCGCCATTTGAACTTGATGAGCGATATCTTTCAAAATGTTGTCAGTTTTACTAGGCATTGTTGTTGTAATACTTACATTAGCCATATACTTAAAGGGAATATACAATCAGTATTACTGGAAGAAACGTGGCGTAGCCTTTTACGATAAACACAAGACAGGGGGACCTCTATGGCAGTTTGCAATCGAAGATCGATCATTTTTCCAAATACTTAGCGACATATACTGGAAATACGAAAAAGAACCAGCTGTTGGCCTGGGTTCATTTCACGACCTGGGACTATACGTAAAGGATACAACCAATATGCAGTACATCGCACAAGTTGATTTCCATTCGTTCAATAACAGAGGGATCGCGTTTACCGAAGAGGATGTTTTGGCACACAATGTCCTAATGCTTAACGGGCCAAAGTGGAAACTGGTCAGGCAGAAAGTTACACCAATTTTTACAACAGCTAAGCTTAAAAATATGTTTTACATAATCGACAAAAGCGCTCAAGATTTTATAGAGTATTTAAGAGAGAATCCAGACAAGTTGAAAGGAGATCTATTTGACACTTTGGGAAATTACTGCAATGCTGCTATTGCAGCTGCTGTATTTGGAATCCATACACGCTCAACATTTGATTCTCCTTTTCGTACTATGGCTAAAGAGGTTCTGACTCCTACTTTCTTTACAAATTTGAAGTTTGCGATAAGTGGAGTAAGTGAGTCACTGTTTAAATTTTTGAAACTCAAGCTGTTTAAAACTGAAAAAGAGAAATTTTTCATTGATGCGATGAAACAAGTGATAAGACAACGAGAAAAAGAAAAAGTAAAAAGACACGACTTCATAGACATATGTGTAGAGCTTCAGAAGAACGGGACGATGGTAGACCCAGACAATGGGTACGCGCTGGAGCCAACAGATGAGCTGATGGCCGCCCAGGCTTACTTATTTTTCTTGGCAGGTACTGACCCCACCATTGCTGGAATTTTCGGAACTTTAATGGAATTGGGCAGACATCCCGAAATTTTGAAAAAGGCACACGAGGATGTTGATAGAGTTTTTGAGAAATATAATGGTCAACTAACGTATGATGCAGTTGGAGAAGTGAAGTATTTGTACAATGTTTTGAGTGAAGTTTTAAGAGTGCACCCTCCGATTGCCTTTGTAATGAGAAAGTGTGTACAGGATAGTGTTTTACCAGTAGGTAATATTCCTGTCGAGAAAGGTGTTAAGATATTTCTGCCGATTTTCGACTTGCATCATGATCCAAATTATTTCCCTGAGCCTGAGAAATTTGATCCTGACCGCTTTGTGAGGGAAGGAGAGATAAACGATACAACTTACGTACCTTTTGGTAAGGGTGGTCGATACTGCGTTGGGGCGAGATATGCTAAAATTCAAATCATGACGGGGTTAATCCATATTTTAAGGCATTATACTGTACGTTCTTTTGTAAGGAAAGGAGGTGTGCAGTACAATAAGGAGCAGTTTCAAGTGCGTTTGAGAAATTGTGATGTTGAGTTGGTGCCTAGAAAATAGTGATCGTTACAAGGCAAGGCAATATTTGTTCGTATGTGTAAAAGTAAATGTATATTAAGATCTTAATTAAAATTTTGTTTCAAAGGTATTGTTTCTTTAACTCTAAATTAAGCACAATTCCACCACGTAGGAAAAGCACATGGTGCCATAGGAATATTTTGTGATCTGTTGAAAGCCTTTGATTGTGTAGAGCATTAGATACTGCTTTAGTAGCTAGAACACTAAGACATTCGAGATACATCTCTAAATTTATAAAAATCATACCTCAAGGCAGCTCAAAGTATAAGTGGATAAAGTAGACTCACAGGGTTTTTTTGTCAGGCGAAAATCATCAAATGACTTCTCCCGCCCAGGGTTAGGCCAGAGAAAGGGTCAGACTCTTACTAACTAAAAATACTACCGTTCCTTCTCCTGCTCTAGCTGAGACCGCGGTGCCACATTCCGCCTATTCCGCAACCCTGGCTGAACATCAGCCCTGTACCACATTTATTTCATCAGATAGTAAGGATGGTGATCTAATTTGAGCTTTGACTTTCATTTTAAATTTATGCATGAAATTATTTTGCTATTTATCTACAGTCATGTTTTGTGTGATTAAATTGTGTAGATTCTTAAAATGATTTTCTAATTCTTCCGATGTATGGAGAGAAACTGAATGAAAATAATTAAAAGTACATTATATTTTACTATATATCCCAATATATGCATACCTGTAATAGTATTTTTTTATAATGTTGTAGGTAACATTATTTCGTACCGTAACATTATTATCCGTACTAACCATTTTCCCCAGATTTTTCTACTTGGCCCAATGGTGGACTGGTAGAGAATGCCATATGGCATTAAAGTCCGCCTTTTGTACCAACCTCATGTCAATTTGTGTACATTGAAGCATAACTACAAAAGTTTACTTTTGTTTGCTAATCAACATTTTTATTAAGCTATATATTTCATTAATTTTGTCAAAATCAAAAATTGTACTAACACTTTACCTGATATAAAACTTAAAGTCAACGAATTAATCAGAAAATGTTTCGTTCGACATTTCAGTCTGCCACTGAAGAGCCTTTAAATATCTGGAACTTAAAGAAACCTGTAATTGAATCCGCCTGCTTAAATAACACAACACCACATTTTTTTTATCAGCGAATGGATTGGCTAAGTTAGCAAATGTTACCGGTAAAAAAATTGGTTGGATCGAAGTCAGAGGTCAAAATAACTCAGAATTATATAAACATTTATACTTAATTAGTGTTTATCGTGTAATCTCAGTTGCACGAACACATAGACATATGACGCATATGGCTTTATAAGCTAAGTTCTCAGCGTTCTCCCGACATTTGCCATTTTAACTTTAAGAGTGATATCTTTCAAAATGTTGTCAGTGTTACTAGGCGTTGTTGTTTTAGTACTTACTATAGCCGTATATCTGAAGGGAATATACAATCAGTACTATTGGAAGAAACGTGGCGTAGCCTTTTACGATAAACACAAGACAGGGGGACCTCTATGGCAGTTTGCAATCGAAGATCGATCATTTTTCCAAATACTTAACGACATATACTGGAATTACGAAAAAGAACCAGCTGTTGGCCTGGGTTCATTTCACGACCTGGGACTGTACGTTAAGGATCCAACAAATATGCAGTATATAGCACAAGTTGATTTCCATTCGTTCAATAATAGAGGGATCGCGTTTACCGAAGAGGATGTTTTGGCACACAATGTCCTAATGCTCAACGGTCCAAAATGGAAGCTGGTCAGGCAGAAAGTCACACCAATTTTCACAACAGCTAAGCTTAAAAATATGTTTTACATAATCGACAAAAGCGCTCAAGATTTTATAGAGTATTTAAGAGAGAATCCAGACAAGTTGAAAGGAGATCTATTTGACACTTTGGGAAATTACTGCAATGCTGCTATTGCAGCTGCTGTATTTGGAATCCATACACGCTCAATCTTTGATTCTCCATTCCGTATTATGGCTAAGGAGGTTCTAACGCCTACCTTCTTCACCAATTTGAAATTCGCTATAAATGGTGTAAGTGAATCACTCTTTAACTTATTGAAGCTCAAGTTGTTTAAAACGGAAAAAGAAAAATTTTTCATTGCTGCCATCAAACAAGCGATTAGACAACGAGAAAAAGAAAATCTTAAGAGGCACGACTTTATAGATATATGTGTAGAACTTCAGAAGAATGGGACAATGGTAGACCCAGATAATGGGTACACGTTGGATCCGACAGATGAGCTGATGGCCGCCCAGGCTTACTTCTTCTTCTTGGCAGGTACCGACCCTACAATAGCTGGAATCTTTGGAACTTTAATGGAATTGGGAAGACATCCAGAAATCTTGAAAAAGTCTCACGAGGATGTAGATAGTGTTCTTGAGAAATATAATGGTCAACTAACATACGATGCAGTTGGAGAAGTGAAGTATTTGGACAATGTTTTGAGTGAGGTCTTTAGGTTGCACCCTCCGATTGCTTTTGTGACCAGGAAGTGTGAACAGGATAGTGTTTTGCCTGTTGGAAATATTCCTGTTGAGAAAGGTGTGAAGATATATATGCCGATTTTCGAATTGCATCATGATCCAAATTATTTTCCTGACCCTGAGAAATTTGATCCTGATCGCTTTATAAGGGGAGAGATAGATGAAGCGACTTATATACCTTTTGGTAAGGGACGTCGATATTGCATTGGGGCAAGGTACGCCAAGATTCAAATCATGACGGTGTTAATTCATCTTTTAAGACATTATACCGTCCGAACATTTGTGAGGAAAGGAGGCGTGCAGTACAACAAGGAGCAGTTTCAAGTGCGTTTGAGAAATTGTGATGTTGAATTAGTGCCTAGAAAATTGTGATCGTTGCACGGAAGTGTACACTTTATTGCTTTCACATTTCTAACAGAAGTGATTTTTTTCGTATGCGTAGACATTGATTTAGTTCGTTTGTAAATTAGATTTGTAAAAAGTATTGTTTTTATATTTTTATTTATTAAAATAATCTAATTGCTACAGCTAAAGTGAACAAACTTTTTGCTAATTTAAGAGTATTGTAGTAAGCATATTTTTAAGAAAAGTTGTAAGAAATTTCTGAAAATAAATTAATGTTAAAGTTTGTGTATTTATTTCTAAAGGTACAAACTATTTATTATTGATACATACTGAAAAAATGGGCTGTTTTGCGAAATTCAATCTGTATTTTATTTACCTACATAAAACTTAAATAAGTCTACGAAAAACATGAACATTTGTTTTACAATGGATATTAATTACACTCTCAAGTTCGTTTGCCACTGAAATACTTCTAAACGACTAGTAAATGGATCTTTTTATACCTATGTAAGCAGCAGCCCGTCACTGCTTCGCATAGGTACACAACCATTATCACGATAATATTTTCCCGATTTACAATAGTACTTTTTCAAGTTCTTTTTTAATTTTGATATGACCTTTTTCACGGCTGGAACAAATACAACTAAAAAGGCGTTGTTCAGTTATGCGCTTACCAACATATTTTGCGATTCATTTATTCGATTTATTTTCAAACTATGTTTAATAACATAATATCGCATTTTTAATCAGCGAATGGGTTGTCGGGTGCATATGTTATCGGTCACACCCGATTTTGGTACAAACAAGGTCTAGGCTATACTGGAATAATGACGTGATGACCCGAAGGTTGAGGCCAATCCCCGTGGTGATTAATGCTCAGTCCTTCTCTGTATAAGAAGAAGCCTATGTTTAGAAGAAGGTGTGTCATATAAGCTGATGATAAGAAGCAGGACATATGGCAATCCAGTATCAAATCAATCAATCAATACAGTAGGAAGAGAGAATAATTCATACCATTTCCTCATCAAACCTGTGTAAGCCTTAGACATAGTTATTGCTAAACATAAGCTGTAATGTATACAGAACCTATTAATAATCCTTTACTTTTTTATAACAAATTTATGAATAGGATTATCTTCACACTATGATTTTCTAAGATGACACAGGATGTCATGGGTGCGTTTACAAACATACAATTTCACATGCACATAACACACAGACCTGGAACAATAATCAGTGGATCACACAAAGAGTAGTTTCGTGTGGGAATCGAAACTGCGACACGTTGCGCGGTAGCTAGTTTTCCAGCTACCGCACCAATTGTGCAGTCATTAACAAATGTGCAATGTTTTTAAATTACTTCTACCACCTGGACTGAACATTTCCCAGTTCCTTTTCTTGCTTAGGGTCAGAGTCGAGGTACACTATTGCTTTGCGGGTTGAGGTAATTCACCTTGGGCTAGGCAAAACTAATTGGTCCTAAAATTGGATTTGACTATTAAAACAAACGTCAAATCAGTCCAGAGTGACGAGACGTTTGAATAGTGGTTGACGCCATGGTTATTTGTCATACAGCGATTATACAGTTGGCGTTGACTGGGCATCCGGCTGGTGCACAACGTGTCACAGCTTCGATTTAGTTCGCACGGAACAACTCTTTGTGTGATCTACAAATTGTTGATTCGCGTCTCGCAGTGATGTGTGTAAAGTAGTGCATGCAAGACTCTGGAGAAAACCCTAGTGTCGGGCAATGATATAAAAAAAGTCACATTTATTGAGCGGATCTATTTGAAATCTGGCCGAGTTTTAGTTTGGAACAATACAAATTAAAAGGCACCTTTTTAACCTGGTATGCAAGTAATACTTCATAATAAATATGCACTTTTAATACAGTTTTTTCGAACTCGATGATATCAAACTCGACGCAGACAGAATCGTGTCGCCATCTCTCGTTACTACGAGGCAATCATAGAATACAAAAGTGTAGGAGTTGGTTGTATAAAGTCGTTACAAGAGTAAATAGTTCCCAGATACGAACGTAGATGGCGCTGTTTTCAAATTGTACAATGTTCATTTATTTTATTCAGCAAACAATATTTATATTTATATGTACTCGCAATACAGTCATTACGATACTTACTACTCATGGAACAAAATAATAGAATCATGATGAAAATAAATATAATAACTAGAAATTGAAGATTATTTCGCCATATTTTACTTTTTGTGGTCTGTAAATGTTCGATCATAAGCCCTTGGAAGCACTTAGGTTACTTGAATTAGTAAAGTAGTCAATCTGTAATTAGTAATTTTGTAATTTATTAATTTTGTTATTTGTATATACTTAGTAATTAAACTGATCATTTAATAAGTTACTAATTAGTAAATTAGTTATTAGTATTTCTATAGACTACAATGTATTTTTTTTGTAGGTGAAAATCCATTTGATTATCCCCACTCACAAACAAGGTTTAGGCATCGATTCATCATTTGGCCCGAATATAACTTTGACAAGTTTTGAACAGATAGAAGATCTCTTTCTCCTCCCTCAAAGGAGAAGAAAATAGAACTCGTAACTCGCTGTTCAACAACTAGTCGCCTAGATAATACGCCAACAATTTTTGGTTACTATTAAGTTTCGTATTTTTTGTTAATGTTCAACCTTATATTGTAATTATAATATTGATTGCTCTTACTTTCCTATTATATTTGTATTTACTCCAAATCCTTTTAGCAATCGTTGTAAAAGTGTGCAAATAGTGTTAGCCTGTAAATGATGGCTACATTTAAGAATGTTACCATCACTTTTGTGTCACCCTTAGTTACCTATGTCTTTTTTTTTTGTTAGGGGAAAATTATCAAATGACTTTTCCCACCCAGGGCCGGGTGGGAGGGAGTGTCAGACTCTTACTGACCCCCCTGTTCCTTCTCCTGCTCTGGGCCGAGGTCGCGCTGCCTCATTGCGCTTACCCCGCAACCCCGGCTGAACATCAGCTCTATAGGGCCCCGTCTATGGTGGTCTATTGGCTTTTAAAGGCGAGCGCGGAACGCTACGCGCCTTACGCTCGGGTGCCCTTAGTTATCACTAAGGTCTCAACGTCTCAACGTCTTTACAAGAAACCGGCGTGAAACAACCACAGCATTGTGTTTTTTGCCGTGCGAGTCAGGTTACCGAAGGCCCAATCGTTCCCCTTCCCCAATCGCTAAATCTCCGAAACCCTAATCTCCCTATCATAATTTAACGTAGGTACGTATGTAGTAGACGCCTTTATCACCAACTTGTGACGTGACATTAGTGATAACTATTTAACATTAGAATGACATTTGACATTGACATACCTTTACTGAAGTCTCAGATAATATGTTCTGATCTTTGGCTTGTTTTAACCTAGTAATCAGTACAGAGAGGACATGGGGCAACCATGCTTCCGCACGAATGGATACCACGGCCTCACAGAAAACCGTCGTGAAATAACTACAGCGTTGTGTTTCACCATGTGCGTGAGGCTACCGGATGCCCAATCCATCCCCTTTCCCCAATCCCTACCTAATCCTTCTTCATCTTCATCAGCCTATACTCTGCTACTGCTGAGCAAAGGCCTCTTCCCATACGGAGAAGGTTAGAGCATTAATCACTACGCTTGCTCAATGCGGGTTGGCGATTTCAAACTTATAATTAAAAATTATTTTAATTATAATTAAAAAGTTCAGGTTTTCTAACGATGTTTACCTTTACCGTGTGTCAGTGATGTCTAAATAATCATAGAAAGTACATACAACTCGGAAAAAGTCACATTGGTACTTGCCAGGTTTCGAACCCACACCCTCATGCATGAGAAGCGGGCTCCTTAACCTCCGGGCCACCACGACATTGATAACGGGCCACCCTAATCCTTAAATATCCAAAACCCTTATCCGCAAAAGGCCGCTAACGAACTCGAGACTCTTAGTGTTGCGGATGTCCATGGGCGGCGGCGATTGCTTATTATCATCGTAACTCATCTGCACCTTTGCCATATATAAAGAAAAAATGAATACGACCAGAGTCGGCGTAGGTAACACTTCCGATGTGTTTCGCCGTGTGAACGACGTTATTGAAGGCCCAATTCTTTTTTTTTTTTTTTAATGTAACAAGTCGGCAAACGAGCAGACGGATTACCTGATGGTAAGCAATCAGCGCCGCTCATGGACACTCGCAATGGAGGAGTTACGAGCGCGTTACCGACCTTTTAGGGATTAGGGATTGAGGAGGGATTGGGGAAGGGGAAGGATTGGGCCTCCGGTAACCTCACTCACACGGCGAAACACAACGCAGTGGTTATTTCACGCCGGTTTTCAGTGAGGCCGTGGTATCACTCCGGTCGAGCCGACCCATTCGTGCCGAAGCATGGCTCTCCCACACTTAACCACACTCGATTGCTCGTTTGCTGACTTATCCCATAGAGAATGATCCGGTTCAGATGTAAATAAAGATGACTATGACGTTAGACATTTAGGAGGAGTTGGAGGAGAAAAATTTGCAATCGTTCTCAACTCTCCTTGGGGGAAAAAATATTTTTTTATTTTTCCCCTTAGAAAGAAAGGATAAAGTTATCAATTGACTCTGTTATTTATGATTATGAACTACACAATGGTATCGTGCGTAGTGCTAATACACAGCATATTCATTATTAGTTCTCTAGTCCACGTCCTCGCTTGTACTCAAAGGTTACAGTCAAAAACAATAATAAATTACATAATCCAATTTTATTCAGGCATCCATAGTTACATTATATACAAATCATAAGACCAATTTTGCGGCTTTTTATAAAAAAAGTAATTTACACAAAATTAAAATAACAGTAACACACAAATTCTTACTATAGAAGAATTCCTGGCTGTAAGTAAAAAAAAAAGAAAAATTTGTGTAAATTTTACCTTAAGTAATTTGTTTAAATCACTCACTATTTATAACATACCAAAAGTATTTTTAGTCCGTTGTACAAAAGTTCGAGGAAAATTCGATAATGAAACAATTAATGTTGTCTAGGTATCAATTCGATGTCACAGTTCTTGAGTCTCACTTGGAATTGTTCCTTTTTGAATTGTGCACCACCTTTTTGAATATGTGTGACCAGCGAATAGTTTCTTAAGAGATGAGCGAACATCGTCAGGATCTGCATGCGAGCGTATCGTGCACCAATACACAACCTTTTCCCCATACCAAACGGCATGTACGTCATATCATTCACCTCACCTCTAGCAAAACGATCAGGGTCGAACCTATCAGGCTCAGGGAAGTATTTAGGATCGTGATGCAGCTCATAGATAGGTGTAAAGATCTTCACACCTTCTTCAACAGGCACATTTCCAACCGGCAGCACAGAATCCTTCACGCACTGTCGCGTATTGTACCCAATTGGGGGATGCAACCGAAGACCTTCATTAAGCACACAGTCGGTGAACTTCATTTCCATGATTGCATCATACGTCAACTTTCCTTCGTATTTTTCGAAGATGGCATCTATCTCATCTTGGACTCTCTTTTGTATCTCTGGATGTCTGCCCAATTCAAACAAAGCTCCAAAAGTTCCGGCAGTTGTGGGATCAACGCCAGCCAAGAAGAAAAAGAACGCTTGTGCAGCCATCAACTCGTCTGTAGGCTCCATTGAGTATCCAGTTTCTTGGTCTATCATTGGACCATTGTTTTGTAGTTCAACGCACAAATCTATGAAGTCGTGTCGTTTAGTATTATCTAACTTACGTTGTTTAATTACCTTTTTAATTGCTGGAATGAAGAAACTCTCTTGATCTTTAAAGAATTTTAGCCTCAATGCTTGGGATACTTTATCACTCACGCTATTTATTGCGAATCTGATATTTGAATACAATGTAGGAGTTAATGCTTGTTTTGCCATTACACGGAAAGGAGAATCAAACGTCGATTTTGTAGTGATTCCAAATACAGCAGCGGCGAGAGCAGCGGTGCTGAAATGACTTAAATTTTCATATGTGTTACCCGACAATTTTTCCGGGTGTTGCTTCAAATGTTCTATTAAATCTTGAGCACTTTTATCAATTATGTAGAACATGTTTTTCAGTTTCGCTGTAGTGAAAATTGGTGTCAATTTCTGTCTGATAAGTTTCCATTTTTGGCCGTGTAAAAACAGAACATTGTTAGCCAGGTAATCTTCTTCTAAAACTGTCACTCCTCTGTGGTTAAAATTCTGGAAGTCAGTTTGTGCGATGAACTGAATATTGGTTGGATCTTTGACGTAGAGGCCATGGGAGTCGAACGAGCCCAGGCCAACAGCAGGTTCCTTTTCATATCTCCAATACAGTTCGTTGAACACTTGGAATAATGGTCTTTCTCCGATCATGTACTCCCATAAAGGACCGAAGGTTTTATTTCTTTTGTAGAAAGCTGTTCCTCTTTTCTTCCAGTAGTACTCGTTGTATTTGCCTCTAAGGTACGTTAGAATTAATACCACGATGGTAATAGCGAGTATAGCTGTGGACAACATGTTTGGTTGTCTGAACTTGTCTAAGCTCGTTGAGTGTTTAGTTGTAACTGATGATGAGCCTCCATCGGACGCTTCTTTTTATAATACGCTTGATGTTTACAACTGATACGGTAATGATTTATTTGAACTCGACAGGTTGCGACTTGTCTTATCTATTTGTAGTCTCGAATATTTTTGTTATCCTACGAGATATTTTGCGTCGTCATTGTTATCAGCTGTGCGGTAATTATTACATATATTCGATTTTAGTTATTTATCTTTTATTTACTCGGAGCTTTATTAATGGCTAAACAAATACTAACAATAGTGTTGAACAGTATTTTTGTTTTATTAAGAGTGTTAATGGTAAATACCCCGTTGATAATTTGCAAATTTAGATATGTGAATAAAACCAGTTTGATCAATATTTTTCTTAAAATATTAGAGCATGTTCTAAGATATTATCGCACAAGTAACGCAATAAATGCAGTACGCACAAAATTGAGGCAATCTCTTTAGTGCCAGATGGAATTTCTTGCTCTTTCTTCTCCATTCGAATCTTCAATTTGGAATGTGCACCTAGCTTCACTGAGAAACAGACTGATTCTATTTTGACGTTTCAAAATTACCTATTTATGGTTTAGTCGGAATAAATGATTTTGACTTTGACATTGATTTAATTGTTATTGCGACATGTCAAAAATCGGTTATTGTTTAATCATTCCAAAATCGTCAAGTAAGCCTATTGCTAAAACATCGATCATAAATTACTGTTGTTTCAAACTCAGTACTAAAACTACCCAAACTAAATAAGTTTTGGACACATTAAAAATATTTATCTAAATATTGTCATTAAGTAAATCTGTTTGGTTGACTGGCTTATTCACAGTAAATAGTGATTACTTAAATTATTCCTAAGTATCGTTTTTTTTATTAATTCCTAATGGTCAGGTTGAATTGACACTTAACGACTCTGAGTACGGTGGTAACATTAAACACCAACCCCTTAATAAAGAAAAGACGCCAGAAAAAATAATAAGTAAGTAAGTAAATGAACTATCCAGTGTGTATGTGCTTAATGTAAAAATAAATACAACACAAAGGCCTCTTCCCACAAGGAGAAGGGTTGAGCATTAATTAGCACGCTTGCTCAAGGCGGATTGTCGATTTCAAACTTATAATTTAGAAATTATAAGTCCAGGTTTCCTCACGATGTTTTCCTTCACCGTTTGTCAATGGTGTCTAAATAATCATAGAAAGTACCTATAACTTGGAAAAAATCTCACTGCTACTTGCCAGGTTTCGCATCCTCATGCATGAGAAGCGGGTGCTTCAACCTCTGGGCCACCACGACAATTACATGGCATATAAACTTTATTATTTAAGGATAAATTATTACTTATGTTATTTATAGATCATTGAATTTTGACCTCGAAACGAGGCTGTTACTTTGGAATATTAGGTACAGCTGTAACTGGACTTCAGGTCCTCTTAATTTATTATTATGATTATGTATTGTTTTGATCTAATGTCAGAATCTGTTCCTAAAGGATAAAACAAATTTAAAATATTGTAAAAGCTAATACCTATCTTATATATAAAAATGGATCGCAAAATGTGTTGGTAAGCGCATAACTCAACAACGCCTGGACCAATTTTGCCAATTCCTTTTTTGTTATGTTTGTTATTGTCAGGAGAAGGTTCTTATTAAGAAAATATTAGAAAAGTAGAGTGGAAGATTAGGAAAAATTGACCCTTTGAGTGGCACTATTGAGACCCAATCTCTATCATCCAGTCATGGAAAAGGTTTCGTGGTTTAAAAATTATAAATTTATATTATTGTGGAAGCATTTCTATCCTTATGCTTACTTACTTCAATGAGATTACACACAAGAATGGTCAAGATTCGTCTGTCTGTTCAAAAGTACATTGATTCTAAAATGAGTAAATGGTAGTTTATTGTTGATTTACAGTTGCCAGTTTATGAAACAACACAAACTGAAGCAGTTATTTCTCATTGAGTAGTTCGGTAAACGGATACAATTGTTTGTCACTTCGATACCATTGTCACAGAGCAAGGTTTCTCACAGTTACCCCGTGATTTCATTTAGTTCAACGAGATTCTTTGTGAGTGTTAGATCATTGAAAATGCAGGTCCTTTACGTCATGATCGTTTTTGGCATCGTTGAATGTAAGTAAGTTTTTTTTTTGTAAATACACTTTCTTTTTTGGTTGTCTATCGTAATTGGTCGTCATATGAAAAGTGTTTGCTTTAGTTTTGGTTCAATAAAAATGGCTTTAAAACAGCTTGTCAATATTGTATAACCAGTTCAAAGCCGACATTGTAATTGCAGTTATAGCTTTTGAGGTTCTTAGTCTACCATCAATGATAGAATTAAACAAAGTTTTTTGTGAATTCTGTGTCTGTCTATTAGACGGGTCATGCTGTGCTGTATGTAATAATAGTGATATTGTATGTATACCGCGGCCCCGGCCTAGAGCAGGAGAAGGAACAGAGTTTTGTTTTTTAGTTAGTAAGAATCTCACACTACCCCTCACTGCAAGAGGGAATTGAAGTCATTTTATGACTTTCCCATCTAAAAATCAGTAGTGTATACTTTCCCTTGCATTAAAGATTAGTTTGTGTCTTTTCCTTGACAGATAGTTTTGTCACATTTGAACCCAAAATAAGTTAAAAACGTTACAAGTAAATTACGAGTTCCGTATCTTGGCCAAGTTCTTTGCTTCAGCATTAAATATGGTTAAAGAAATCCGCTCTTGTGCCAACTACTGGTGATTTTTTTTACTTTTTGGCTTGTTGAGCACACTTTGTAATATATAGTACGAAGCTATGTCCGAGATTTTTATTGTCTTTGTTTTAAAATATGGTTAGCAAGTCAAAAGCTTTTGGTGAATTAGTGACAAAGATTGTTTTCTTTTTTGTATTTTCTCCAATCTTTGTAGTTCTCTTCATTGGGCACGTAGAGACTTAAAAGACTACTTTGAAACTAAAATAGTTTTCTATTTTACAAACTTTTTCTACTTCCTTACAGATACAAGCAGTCAGTTTGTAACAATAGGATCGAATAAAAAAACAGGCAAGACGGCATGTGACCCATCGGTGAAGTCTTCTTTAGTGGAACATTTTTTCAACATCATCTTCACGGAATTCCATAATACACCACCAGTTTGCGTCTGTGTTCAAATGTGCCCAGAACAACCGACCTACTGCTACCCAAATGGATGTTTACGAAGAACACCTAATGAGAAAAACAAGAAACTTGATATCCCACTACCAGTTACCCGTATCAATGAGAACACTAAATCCATTTTCTTCATTGACGAAAAGAATGATTTCATGAACGAGTTTCTCTCGAAGAATTACCTCGATGACGCGCCACCCGCAACTCCAAGTAAGTAAATTTTTATTAGATACTACGTATTTATTTACATGTTATGTGGACTATGGTGCTTTTATTTTTTCTATAAATGTTTCGTTCTATTACAAGGTCATATAACAATTATCATAATTTTGTTTTAGCTCCAGCTGCGACAGAAAATGCAATGGTAGCAAATATGCGTCCAGATCCATTTAAAGACAGATATAAAATCCTCTTCAAATACAAGAAAATGCCAAAAGTGGAATTAAAATACAATCTTGGGGAACAAGTGAAAAATATGAAATCGGACATGTTGAAACAAGAAAGTGTTGATGTATCAAACACAAGGTGGCCTGTGAATAAGATCGACCGCAGATTAGGTGGAACGAGAAAAGGTCATAGTGAGCCACCCGTCCAGAAAGGTACAACTAATCCCAGATACTTCATGTCCATGTTTCCTGATAAACATGATATAGCCAGCTATCCACCAAAATATTACAAGCGAGAGTTAGCCAACAGTACACATAATGAGAACGATGGCGATGATTTCAAGGCAATCTATGTGGTAGGCAAATCAGAATCCGAAAGTAACATATTCTCATTAGAAAAGCTAATCGACAGTTTAATTGAAAGTAGTTTCGATAACAACGTTACTACACCTGAACCTACAACAGATGCCGTAAACAATATGGACATTGCAGAAAAGAAATTGAATGATACTGCAGAGAAACCAACTTCAAACAAACGTTCGATGAAGAATGTAACTATGAATGTGATATCAATGAATTTGACCAATGAGAATACTGACAAGAATAAATACTCAGATGTTGGGATGGCAAATAGCTCAATACACGTCAATGATATGATTGCAACTCTGTCGAAGAAAATAGAAATACAAAACAATACTAGTTTAGAAATGATGAGGAGAATTACTGGAGATTTTGAATTTGGATCGGTCAATGCTACAAGTGAGAAATCTATAGAAACGACAGAGCTTAAGAATAATGAAGAAACCACTACAGAATATGTTGCTCCAGTGGCAGAACAAGAGTCAAGAACGACAAGAAAGATTAGACAGAGAATAGTGAGAAGACCTCATCATAGTAAAAATAATTAGGATAACAATTACCTAACGTACTTTAGAGATACCACTATTTTGATTGATTATAATATTAATAGTAACAATAAAAAGAACGTTAAATTGTTAAACGATGGTATTTTTACTAATTTTAAGCATTTTCTGGTGTTATACTCAAGATTCGTTAAAACAATTAGAGATATTTTCGACAAAAGTAAGACATAAATCTAATTCTTCTATACTAATATTATAAAGAGGTAAAATTTGTTAATTAGTAAGTTTGTATGTAGGGGGTAATCTTTGGAACCACTGGTCGGATTTCCAATATTCTTTCACTGATAGATAGCTACAATATTTCTGAGTGCTGGCTATAAAACATCACGCTACTATTAAATGGAGCTGAGCAGCGGGTGAAAGCGCGCGAGAGTAACTAGTTATTTTTATATTTTAGGAACAAAAAGTGAGTAGTAAACTTAGTTAGTTGGAGTTCCCTGTTCGTCCTTCTCCAATCCAACCCACACTTTGGAATGAGCACCTAGTTTCGCTGATGAACAGACTATAGATGATGGAATATTATTCTATTTTGACATTAAACACCTAAGGTAGGTACTTCAAGTCAAAATCTAAGGCAAAATATGCGAATACATTGAAGATCCTATACGAAATGTAATCTACACTTACAATACAATGTCGGTAATGGAATAATATTCGACGTGAACGTGTTTTTCAATTACAGACCAGAGCCAGTGTAAATGGGCCGAGCACAAAGAGAGTACGTGATGTGTCAAGTATTTCAATACCTTTGCTTACTACGCGAAGTATTACGGAAACACGTGTCATTGGATATGACTTTGTTTACGAATAAAATGCCCAAAAAGAGCATTCAGAACAAAAATCTTATATGCATATATTTTTGAGAAATTTTGGTTACTAATCTTTTTTAATAGAAAGTCCTGTAGTTCATAATGCAACTACACCTTCATTGGCTATCTTAATGGTAGTTACTTGTCTTATAAGTAAATCAGTTTATAGTTCGCTGATATATAAGATCAATTAGACAAATAACTGTATGAAACAAAAAATATATAAAAGAAAGCATAACAACAGAAAATCGGAGGGCTATGAGAAAACATGCAGCCCCAAAAATCCAATCATTTGCTCGATGTAGGGACTGTAATGTGAAAAAAACGCACGCTGCGCGAATTGTACGAAATTAATCCGCATCGTCCAGCTAAATTATAAGCAATGAAAACTGTAATTTTGTAGGACGATACAGTTATATCGTGGAATTGAACTCAGAAAGGGTTGAATGTAATGGCAGAAAACATCTGGGTCCGTTTTGTGAAATGTGTCGAACACCGCTTGCGTTGTGCCAAAATTTCTCAACCTTTTTGATTTGGACTGACGATTTTCTACTAAGTATACATTTTTTGTTATTCCTTAAAAAAGGTTAGCTAAATTAATTCTATATTAATATTATAAAGCTGTTGAGTGTGTTCAAACGTGTTAATCTTCGAAACTACTGGTCTGAGTTGAACAATTGTTTCTGTGTTCATCAGTACATTTATTGAGGAAGGTTATATGCTAACAAAACATCAAGCTATGACCTGTAGGAGCCGAGCGCCGGAGAAGAAGAGAAACGCGCGGGAGTAGCTAGTCTGTAAGAAAGTAGTCAATAAATGTCACCAGTTACCATTTCAACTCCATCATAATTATTAAATCGACAATTAATAATTTTACTCGAATTTACAGTGCACAATAATAATTTTCGCCATGAAATGTCTCATTTTTGCCATTTTTCGGAGACTATGGTTCTAGAAAGAAAGAAATAATTTTATTACAAATAAAATTATTTCTTTCAACCTGGACACAGATACAAAAGTAGATAAAAAAAAAACAGTAAAAATTAATCAAAACAAAAATAATAAAAAAAAAAAAACAGTGATGTGTGTCTCAGCGTTGGACAAATAGGCCCAGTTTAGCTTCTACTCATACATATGTCTATTCTAATGGCGATCTTGATAAGTCATTGTATAAAATTTTCTATTTTATTTTAACTCACCAAGAGTTTAAAGAAAGTTCGTTAAGGAAGTTATAATTGAAAAACAAATTCCTTATGAAACGAAGCAGCTCGAATATCTCAATAAGTGTTGAGAACCACAGCAAATAACCTCGATTAGTGCCATTATAGCGATATAAAAGTGGAATATTAACAGTAATAAGCTTTCATTGGCCTGTATAAGATTATTAGAAGGATATAGCTGTGTGTTAGTATGTCTCTATGTCTTTTGTATGATGATAGCGTCTCGTATTAACGAGTTTCTTAGTTAGATGTTATGCACAGATTGAACGGTCTAGGTGAATGATTTTGCTGTTAGTGTTTAGGGAATATTGTTTTCGGAAGTGGGTATAATTAGGGAAAGTATCCCGTTTATTTGAAGTTATCTATTAACTAGTATAAATTGTTATGATAATAAACTGTACACAGTTATAAACTAATTATTTTCATATCCAAACTATAAATTCGAAAGTAGCTCTGTCTGTCTGTCTTTTCTTCACGCCTAAACTACTGAATCGATTTCTGTGAACGAAGTTTGAACTCGAGAAAGGACATTGGGTAGTTTTTATACTAAAAATCTGCAGGAAGTCACTATTCCACGCAACGGAGTCGCGGGTAAAAGCTAGTTAGTCAATAAATTAAAATAGGTACGATGGGGCTTACATAACTTTCATAAAAGGCCCTAAACTAAATAAAAAAAAAATTGACATCTAATTTTTCCTACATACAATATTTATATTGACGAGGAAGATTAGTCTCATTCATAATCATAATTCTATTTTTAAACATAACGAAAACAACTCTTTTACCATAGAGGTTCTAAGAATCTAATTCGGCCATATTAGTAGTTAGCTCAATGATTGCTTGAAAAACCTGTTATTATAAAAAGAAAAAAATTTTTGGTGATAAAAAAAAACACTTCACCAGTACGTGATCATATATTATCATCAAGTCGCTACATGTTTGTTATTAAGAACTGCGTAGAATGTATGCTCGTGTAGATTACTCGTATCAACACTAGTAAGAGGCTTCCCAAACGTACTTCGAGTGTATCGGCTCAATGTAGATATTATTTCATTCATTCGTTTTACACTTCTGATTAAATTATTACGTTTTTATTGTTAGTGTACAGTGCATGTGTTTTGTTTTACAGTGGTGGATTTTTTGTATTTTTTTTTAATAGATTTGTGTTTTGAATGTGTTAGTTGGATTGGATTTTTTTTGTAAACTGTTAGTAAAGGTAAATATTTTCTTCGAAGGAGAAACAGTATTTTATGCCTGTATTTTTTTATTAACAGTTTTTGGAAATGACTTCAATGTTTGCCTCTGCCTACTTCTTTAGAGACTAAAAGTCGTGATGTTATGATGTGTAAAAATGGAATAAAATATATTTTGCAGTAATCCTACTTGATGGTCTTTTTTACCTCAGTGATCACATCAATGACTTTGAAATCAACAAGTGCTAATGGAATTATGCGATCTTTAATGTCCTAACATGGCTTAAGATTAGATTTAGTCAATTTTCAGACTAATTTTCGGTAGGGGTGATTGGGAACTAAGGTCACCTCTTAAACTATTCGACAATACCGTGTCTACGACCCGTCAAACTCTCCCCAACTGCAAAAAACTGATAAAACATAACCTCACCAAGCCCAAAACCTATAACAAAGCCATCTAGAGTGAAAAAAAACAGTTTAAACATTACTAGGAACTGGCGTTAATCTGTTGCTAAGGTAAACATTGGAGCAGACAGTACGTCTGGTTCGAAACCGCATTACACAACACGTTGACACAGTCATTCCGTCCGATAACGAAAAATAAACAAGATATTATCTATGGGCAAAAACATTTAACCTTTTTATCAATATAATTCTGCTTTATCATCGTTTATAATACTTTGTTTTTGTGTAGGTAGGTAAGTATTTTTAGCAATTCACCATTATAATGTATTAACAAATTGTTATATATTTTTTTTATTTGCCGGTATAGGCAAATAAGATTCCAGATCACCTGATTTTTTTTTTTTTTTTTTGTGAGGGGAAAATCATCAAATGACTTCTCCCGCCCAGGGCCGGGCAGGAGGGAGTGTCAGACTCTTACTGACTAAAAACCCCCCTGTTCCTTCTCCTGCTCTGTGCCGAGGTCGCGGTACCTTATTGCGCTTACCCCGCAACCCCGGCTGAACATCAGCCCTTTAGGGCCCCGTCTGTGGTGGTCTATTGGCTCTTTGAGGCGCGCGCGGAACGCTACGCGCCGTACGCTCGGGCCTGGTTCTGGTCGGGCGGCGAGCTGCCCTTACTCGCCGACCGCAGGCCCGTACTTACGGTGGCCGGAGATCGTCCCTCGATCCCCGACGCCCGTAGTGTCGCCAGTTGCGGCTGCTGGGGCGTGAGGAGGAGGATTGCTCCCTCACGCGGGCCGCCTCTCTCTTTGCGAGCATGACTGCTTCACAAAAGGAGGAGACGGCGTCCCAGTTCCTCTCACTCCGCACCATGGCCTCGACTAAGGCCGGGCGCGAGAGGTCGCCGCCGCCGATCACTTCCCTGAGGATACGGCGGTGCTCAGCCCAGGCAGGGCATACCGCTACCGTATGCTCCACCGTATCCTCTAGGTGGTCCTCACAATGACGACACTCGGGCGTTTCCTCCCGCTGAATCCGAAACAGGAACCTACCGAAGCTGCCGTGCCCGGTAAGCACCTGCGTCAGGCGGAAGGTGAGGACGCCGTGGCGTCTCTCAAGCCACTCCTCAAAGAGGGGTCTTACCGCTGCTATGGTAGCGTGCCCGGCCCTCGGTTGCGACAGTCGTTGTTTCCACTCTGCCATGAGATCTCGCCGGAGCTCATTCCGCCACGCACTAATTTGGCGCGGCAGAGGATCTTCGCCCCGGCGACGCGCGTCTGCGCGCAAACTGTAGACGCGCGCGAGCGCCTTCGCTTCTAGATCCCACGGCGGTGATCCGGCAAGGAGGTTCGCCGCCTC